GTGCAGACCAACCTGGCCTCCCCCGAGCCCTACCTGCATCCATCTCAGGTAACGTCCTCGGCGATGGCCTCGGCCTCAGGGGGGCTTCAAGGTGCGCCCCGTGCCACCCGCCCCGGCATCTCCTGGGGTGCCACGCCGGCTTGGGCGTCCCCGGCGCCCTCCCGGTGAAAGCTCTTTCTTCTCTCCTCGCCTCCGGTGCAGATCCAGCGGGATGGTCCCCGGGCGATCCCACGCCTTCGTAGCCACCCAGCGCCGGCACGGGCACCTCCGCGCCGTGGCAGCCTCCGCGCTTCAGCCGCTGCTTCGCCTCCCTCGGGTTGGCTGCTGCTGGGTGGGAGCCAGATCCTGGACCCCGAGCACCCACCTGGCTCCCAGGGGGGCCCCGGGTGCCCGTCCCCGGTTGTGCGCGGTGCTCCCATGGGCACCTGTGCCTTGCAGTAACTCGTAGAATCATGGAATCATGGAATGGTTTGGGTTGGAAGGGACCTCAAAGATCATCCAGTTCCAACTCCCCAGCCACGGGCAGGGACACCCTCCACTACACCAGGTTGCCCAAAGCCCCATCCAACCTGGCTTCTTGCTCTTCTCGTCATGGCACCTTGGCAAACCCACGGCGGCTCAGCCCAGGCTTCGTAGCGTCCTCCAAGAGAGCTGGGTTTTGAGGGACACCCAAAATGCCACCTGTGGTCCTCATCCATCTGGAGGAGATACGTGAGGGAGGGATGTCCCCTCTGCAGAGCGAGGGGAGGTGGTCAGAGTGGGTTAAGAGCATGGAGGAGACCATCTCCTTTCTGCTCTCTCCACCTGCTTCCGTTTTCAACGAGCTCCTCTGCCAGAAATGAGGGTTTGCTCTCCAAATTTTTCCCAGACATAGCGGGTCGAGGTGCTGGAGCACCGTAGCTTTCACGGTGAGCAGGAACGGGCAGCACCACGTTTGAGTTGGGGTCTTGTCCCACCACCCCAGCTCCAGCCATCTCAAGTGGTGGCTGAACCCACCAGTAATTCCGAGGCAATTTCCAGGAGTTTTTCCAGGTGAGGACTGAAAGTAAGTGGAGGAGCTTCGTCCCTCCGGTGCCGTCCCATCTGATCGTAGGTAGCACCTCACACAGGTCCTGCCTTGGTCTCCTCCCTGGCACGTTGGGACGGATGGTGCTGCCAACCTGGCTGCCAGATTTGCTTTCTCAGAAAAGCTGGTCCCTCAAAGCTGGTCCTTAACAAGCTGATCCTTCAAAGAACTTGGTCCTTAGCAAGTTGGTCCTTCAAAGTTGGTCCTTAGGAACCTGGTCCCTCAGAGAAGTTCCTCCTTAGCAAGCTGATCCCTCAAAACCTTGGGATGAAACAGCTGCGTAATGAGATCAGTGGAGCATTGCATCCAAAGGCAGCAGAAGACAATTCCCCGTGCCCAAGTGTCCCGAAGCACTCGGGGCTGCATGAGGTGGTTCAAACCCCAAACCAGAGAGATCCAAATCCACTTTGCATGCTCACGTTTGGCCAGGAGGAATAGCCGCCACCATTCATGATCTTGTGCCTTCTGTGTGGAGCTCGGGATGTGGTGGGAGTCTTCTCTGCTGCCCAGGTGTTTCTGTCTAGTTGACCCTGTCTGATGTTGTCCTCAAGCTCAGGGACACCTGTTCCAGGAAGACCAGATTTCCAGCCAAGGTGGTCAGACCAAGTTGCCCAGAGAAGTTGTGGATGCTCCATCCCTGGCAACGTTGGATGAAGCTTTGAGCAACTTCATCTAGTGGGATATAGAATCATAGAATCATTAAGGTAGAAGAGGACCTCTAAGATCATCAAGTCCAACCCTCAACCCAATATGTCCCTGCCCATGGCAAGGAGGTTGGACTAGATGATCTTTGAAGGTCCCTCCCAACCCAGACCATTCAATGATTGTCACATGGTTTTAATTTGGTTTCCTACACCCCATCAGCTGGAGAACCTTCAACATTAGGGCTGAAGCTAATTTTATGTTGGCACTGGCAGCAGAGAGGATCCATCGCGTTTTGCTGCCCGCTGGAGTGGACTTGGCTGGAGAAGGCTGATGTCCCCAGCTGATGTGGTCCTTTGCTTCTCCCTGGGTGTCCTAGATGAACACTGTGGTGGTGGCCCACCATGGTTGTTGGAAGAGCCATGGCAGCAATGGCTGCTAAGCAAGAAGCCTTAGAGCAAATACTTCATCTCCTGCCCCACATGCCTTCAGCTGACCAGCAGGTTGAAGGACACAGAAGGACCTTTCGGGCAATGTGGCCTCCGTAGGAACGGCGGGGCTGGGTCCCTCGAAGGGTGAAGCTCCCATGTCCCCATGGCCAAGTCTTTGCGGTGCAAGATGGGAGCTGAGCAACATCAATGGAAAGAGGAGACCTCAACGCTGGGATGGGACGAGCTGTTGAGCGAGGAGGCAAGAAACTTGACTTGTCTGGAGAAGCAGAGGCTCTACCAGCAGCTCTGATGGCTCTTCAGGTGGCTTTGTTGTCTCCTCCTGGACTTGCCACCTCCACGTAGTCCCGGTTCTTTCCACCTTGGTTCTGCCTCCTGCTTTTCTTCTTCTGTTCCTCACTGGCCTCGCCCCGAGGCC